GACTCCCTAGTTGTCTTTCTCAACACTCAGGTTTGTATAGATGGTGGATTTGTGTAAACTCTGTAATTTCCCTGTGAACCGTTTACCGTTCTTCATTTTTACTGTTCCTTTCTTCATATCTCAACCGTGACTTCATAAAATGTTCATTGGTTTCGACAGTGGTCATAGCATACGAGGCTAATATTCCGCCTCTTTCTGCAACACGAATATCTTGATCATCTAAATAACAAACTGTACAGTGTAAAGGAAACAGACATAATGGCTTGTGACATATCTTTGCTTAAAACACGACACATGTGAAGTATTAGTTCCATCCAATTTTGTCACCTTTGGTGTTCCCTTTTTTCATTACATGTTCGTAATCCGCCCGAGCAGTACATTACATATGCGGACGGGTTACTGACCCTAGTCTGCTCAGACCTGTCCTCGATGTGGCCACTCTTCACCTGCCCCTCCTGTTCTGTTCTGTTTTTTCTGCCTCTGTGAATGGCACTCCCCTCTGGGTAAGAGGTAGATTTTTTAATTGCGGTGAGAGGGTGGAGGGAGAGGAGGACGCGTTTATCGCACTTAAAACCGCGCAACCCCGGTTCTATCAATCTTCATTAGGATTCAGGGTTAGCTCACGGCTGTGATGATGATTGTGATGCTACTGATGATGGCGATTCTCCAGGCCCTGCCATTCCGAACCGGTTGTTGGATGTGGATGAGGATAGACACGGAGGTCACTCAAACTCGTCCGAATGCACCTGTTTGGGTTTGCGCCAACACCTCCCAGTTGGCCTATTCACTTCAACTACCTCCCTTGGGCTATTCGGTCTGGTCTTTTGCCCCGCCCTTTACTATCGAATCGCATCCGCCATTTTTTGTCCCGATGAGGAGATGGTGTACTTGGGCGGACTAAAGTGGTCGTGCACTCGTTTACCCTGAAATCCGTAGTTTTCATACATGTTCTCTTCATCGATGTCTGTATGCGTGCTTACATACTACTTCCGATAGACCATTTTATACACACCGACCCGTCAATCAGCTGTCTGTCCTTTCCCCCATTGCCTGCTGTACCTTCCCGGTCTGCATGCAACAAAACTTGCTTGCCTGCAAGTGTGTGTAGTCCAGCCACACACACAGCCATGCCTGTACAAGAGGAGCACGTGCCTGAATTTGTGTATATGTAATATTGATGACCCCATGGCCCGGTTAAATGGGGAGCTAATCAGAAAGTTAAATCAGAGTGGTTACCGCCACCTCATCCTTCTCCCATGTGCCGTAACTCTGCGCATCGGCACTGTTGTCGCCATCAGGTTGTCCGCTGTCCTTGTCGTCGTAGTGGTAGTTTGAACAGTATTGTTCGTAGTCCTGTTCATCCTCGCACCCATTCCATCTCCTGTCTATCGCTCTACAAAGCTATACTAGTGCTCACGCCTACGCTATTCATACATTCCTGCTCTAGTTTCCGGCTAGATAGTCCCCCTACCCCAAACACAATCCACAGTTTCTCATTTTTCAGTTGTAATGCGAGGGTTATAGTAATGAAAAAGTGAGCGGAGGAGATGCTACTCACTGGTTAGGTTTTAAATTGTTACTCCAGATCGTGATGTACTTAATGGGTATTCCGACAGATTTGAGTAATTAAGCGTCAGCTCAAACCAGGTTCATTACAAACAAAAAAACTTGCGTCTGGTTATCAAACCGATTGCTCATGGACTTTACACTTTTAGAATCCTTCCTAAAATCCACCAAGTCGAATGTTAAAAGGATGAGAATGACCCGCATCACTGATAAATGTAAAAATACAATAATGAACTGTGTAGCTTCTCCTAATAATGCTGTTAATCAACTCTTAACAATATACCTCGAATTAAATGTTTAGTTTTTTATGATCACTATGTTACACTCATGGTATTTGTTTTATTGTGCGTTTTGGGAGTAACACGTGCACAAAACGCCACTAATACCCTGATATGTGATCTGTATGAAAAATCAGCTGTTCAAATTAATTTCGTATTTGTTCTTCACGAACAATTTCACTCCTGGTTTCTGTTCCACAAACGCGGGTTGCTTCGTCAATCTATTCACTAGTCCCTGCCAAAAGTGTTCAACTATAAGATCATATTTTTGAGTTTGTTTTGTCCCACAGTTCAGTATTTGGGCATTGGTTATGTTGATTCGTCCGTCAAACCACGATTTTGCACAGATACAGAGCCTTTCGAATTGAAATTCCGGTGTCAAACACATTTTGTTTTGGTTTATGCCTCTCTCCGTCCTTCGCTCCGTCGTCCACCCTATTTCATGATTCTGGTCGCCATAGTGTGATTGACAGCTTTTGGAATTAAGGCGTCCATATCGGGAAGTGGCTCGTTCCCCTTGGTGTGTGTTTGTGCGTAAACGTCAGGACTATTACATCGGAGGACTCAAATCTGAGCAGTTAGTGATCTTGGAGTCACACATACTTATTTGTCCTTGACCGAGCGTAAAAAAAACATTGGGGTGGGATACTGATTGGTTTCACACTTGCCATTTCATATTGTGTATGGAACAGTCAGTTAGCCAACCAGAAACCCAACAACTCAACCGTTCATGCATGCGCTACTTTATTCGCTCGTGTGTGTCCCTGATGACGAGTCGTCGTCTGCTTATTTGTCCCTGTTCAGCAGCCGCCAGTGCCTCACTTTTACCAAACGAGTCGCCTCACTCACGTTGTCTGGTCTTTCTCTCCCTGACACACGCATTACTTTCATGCTGTTTTGCTTCACCCCATCTCTCGTCGTCTCGTTCCGACCTTTCGATCTTCTTGTACTGTTACACTCGTGTATCAGCGTACCCAGACGTCAGTCATATGCGATATAGCTGTTCCTAGAACATAGGCAAACTCCAACGTCATCGTCAGCAGTGTTACTGGACCGAACACATATGTGTACATATATACCGATGCACAATACACCTCTGCTCAGAGATAGGACTAATAAACGATGCACGATCGAATTGTTGGCGCCTATGAACGATTATCCATCCGCCTGTCAAAATCTTATTAGACAGCTGCAAGCCGTCCTGTACCGATGTGTCACATGCGATTACGAGCGCGGAGTCCGTTGAACGTTTCATCAGGGGCGGTTCATTGGTCGGTCGGTTGGTTGGTTAGATAGTCATACACACACACACACGCACTGAGTGTGGTCCATCATTCGGTCGGGCTGTCGAAACGCCTTTATTGTTGGTGGGGGTGCTGTTTTTTGTATCCGAATCGTAGAAGCAGTAATAATTTAATTGTACAGTAATTCCAATACACAGTCTGGTGGACTGTCTGGATGGTTGGATAAATGAGTGATGGAATAGAGTAAGAGCAATGTGAATAGATAAATACGTGGCTGATTGCTTGCCAATGCGGATGAGTCTGCATTGATCCTGAAAGAATACTGTTATCTGAAATATTTTGTCTTTGGTTTCTATCTAAGCAGTTACACTGAAACAATTCCGCTTCATGTTTCTTGCTCTCTGTTCTTAGCATAACAGTCGGAAGTCAGACCTGAGTATCGGAACGGTATTTATGGTACAAATAGTACGATAGATAGAAATTTAACCATTACATGTATTTGGTTTCACATGAAGAGGATAATTCCTGCTTTTAGATCACAGCGCTCATCGTTCACGTGACGCAAAAGAGCGGTTTCGCAACAACTGATCATGTTGACTTTTCAACGATCCTCTGTAACCGTACTCAAGAAATGCAACTTCACAAACCGGTCCACTGGTCCAAACATGGTGTTAAGTTTAAACGTTGGTGCACCTACATATTTTTATTTTCTACCGATCGTAGAGAAGATTTTTTATTGAAATATGTCGGCAAATTCATGACAGGTTTTCGATGTTGAGTACATCCACTATTCCGCATTGTTATATGCATTGTTAGAAGCTGAATCATATGACGGCGTTGCAAATAGTCATGGCCCACACTTGGTTCCTGAACACGTTTCATTAGATTCCCTCGAAGAGATCGGTAGTGCTGTATTATACTAGATGTTTTTATTTTACACCCAACCGTCACAATTGTTTGTCACACAGAAAACTGAAAACAGATTGTGTAAATGTATTCCTACTGTCACAGACTGAATCTTGCAGGTAGTTTACTGAGTTTCTTAGTTAGCTTCTGGTCTATAAACACTAGGATTTACAAGAACTTGATGGCTCATCGTAACGCTTCCTTGTTCTCCGTTGCGGAATATGGCTTGAAAATGGTTTCTTTGGCCATTGTTGCTGAGGTTGATTTGCCATTTTTTGTTCGCTAGATCATCATCTCATCCAAGGAATTCGCCTATTTACGATAATTGTGCTTCGTTTTCCTCTTGAACATTGTTATAAAAAGTGTGGCATCATTCGTTTATTCTTTTCAGTCCTATTGTTATTTACACGACCGTAGTCAATATAGCTTTCTTTCGTCCTATCTGTCACCGACTAGTCGCGCAGTAAACTATTTGTATTGATTGAGTTCTTCTGGTATGCTTTTTTACTTCTTAGTCGATCAACTTGTCACTGATGTTCATTTACTCAACCAAACCTACATGCATCCCCTGTCGTTTTTGATGTATTTTTAGTACTAATAATCGTAGTAATCTCTGACCTAAGTTTACACTCGTTCGTAGATGAAATTAGGATGTTTGTATTTATGTCGATTTTCTGTTATACGATTGTTTCGGTACCTCTAATGTCGAGAAAATTACCCAATTTATAAATTACTGACTCGAACGGAATATTAGGCATTCCAAGCATTTGATGTCTCAGGGTAACATACAGTTCTTCTTTGAAAATCTTAAGCTTGGCTTTTGTTATCTGTATCGCAGTAGTTATCTCACTTGTAATTTTCCTATCTACATCACTATTTTACTTGCTCTTTTTTAAATTGGTCCATTCTTCTTCCCGACCCTTCACCTCGCCAACAGCACCATCAACAACAGCACCAACAACATGCACAACCACTGTCTCCTTATATGGGCCATCCGTTTGGCTTTATGCCTTTTTATGATCCTTTTGGATGTGGCGCTGCCGCTGCAGCAGCAGCCGCAGCGGCGGCCGCAGCAGCAGCAGCCGCAGCTGCCGCATATTCGCAATCTTCGGGTTCAAGCACAACGACACCAGCCATGGTTTCGAAATCCAATGGAGCAGGGATCACTAACTCGGGAATGGAAGGAAGTCAGCTGTCTTTGACAAACGGCGGTAAACCGGACAATGCGCACGATTATCATAATCAACATCACCAACACCAGAACCAACCTAGAGCTTTTGATCCATCCAATACATCACGACTAGAGGAAATGAATGTATCCTCAACGGACTGGCGGACAGAATCGAGAACTAGTCAAAGATCCAACGCGATCGGACTACGGAAAACCGATGGGAATCGAGCCGAAAACTATGGTGGCAAACCATTCGCCAGTGATGTTCGAAATGAAATGGATACTTTTGCTGGTGAGTTTTCACTTGTAGAGAACCCCGTTTGTCTGTTCCATACTAGCGCCATTTGCGATCCATCTCATTTCTCATTCCTTAATCACCCATCGCTATATTATGGTATATTCATTTTAAACTGTAATTCCAGGGATCTGACTTGTTCTATTCTCCTGTCCGGTGATTTCAACGCGTCGCCAGTCGGAGTTGTTGCTCTTATCCTATCCATAATCCGACATAATTCCATGCATATGGCTTATTTTCCCTAAGCTTTACCATTTACGCTATGGAAACGAACGCGCACCGACCCTCAAAGACTGATATGCATTCGTTTGTGAATTCAAAACTTTTCGATCGCTTCCAGATCTGTTTTATGGATCGAATTGCTGTTCCATTCCATTGAATCCCCTCTAGTGGAATTATTCGGATAGTCTAAGCGTCCTAATTCATGAGCTTTAGTTCAGGTTTCCCACCCGACCGTGATAGAATCAGTTTGGATCGAGGGTTTTGCCTAGCCGCTTTTTGGTCTTTGTATGGATCGTATGCTGTCCGCCTGTTTCTTTTAACTCTGCGTCTCATTTTTTTACTTTGTGTGT